AGAAAGAAACGAGTGAGCATATCGATAAAGACGCCATGTTTGAAGTATGAGTTTAAACTGTTTAGACCGAAAAAAATGCTGTCATGGCAACGTGACGTCACACTTTAGGACTCTATTGGGCGGCAATGACGTAACGTGCAAACCACCTATTGTGTTTTTCTGTCGGTTGAATTATACCATTACAATACTTTCTTCATTACGATGCTACTGCATTTACTTTCAATACTTTCACTATTTCTTTCTTTTATTAATCTAGAAACACGATGAAAGGATTTGTGACCGTTTGTATATTTGCAATTCTGTCTGTTGGCCAAGTAAAGGGTAAGACCTGAAACTTTTACCTATCAACTTCCTTCTTCGATCTATACTTGTAGTACTTAAAAACCAAAACAACGTTAGTAAAATGATAATAATAAATGATTTCCTTGTTGTTTCGTATATGTATAAAATTATGAGAGATGATGCATTTACCATCAAGTCCTGAATAAAAGTAACAGCTACAACAACATCAATTGCGATAATCATGATAATAATTATATAAATGATAGCGATAATGATGTTAAAAGTAATAACGATGATAACAACGTTGTTCATGACAATGACAATAGCGAGGGCTTTTGCACTGAAAATGATGACAATGACGATGAAAATGACAATGAAAATGAAGATGACAATGGCAATGACAATAACATTAAAAATGGCAACGTCAACGTCAATGACAATGACAGTGACAATGGAAATGATAATGGCAATGGCAATGATCCTGAAAATGGCAATGGCAATGGCAATGGCAATGACGATTACTATGACAATGGCAATGACAATGACTATGACTATGACTATGACAATGGCAATGGCAATGACAATGGCAATGACAATGGCAATGATTATGACAATGGCAATGGCAATGACAATAACTATGCCAATGGCAATGACAATGGCAATGGCAATGACTATGACTATGACGAAGACGAAGGCGAAGACGATGACAATGGCAGTGATCATGACAATGGCAATGACAATGGCAGTGATCATGACNTTTTCTTGTTCGAGTGGTGTGTATATATACTAATCGCCTGCTGGCAACCGGTTATGAATTCTGGTCGCCAGTGCAAAGTTTTTAGTCGCATTGGCGACCAGGAAAGCGCAATTTCGGACACTGTATACACCTTCAAAAACTCAAAAAATGATGAGAAAACCTTGAGTGGGCTGTAAATAGTGACAAATAATTGAAAATGGTAATACTTTTGAAGACATGTTTCTTGTTAAGTTTGTCGAGATAAAGATATCTGTTCCCCTTGCAGTGCATGGAGCAAGCGAAAGTAGATGAAATTCCATTCAGTTTGAAGAGTCCATTTTATACCATAACCTCTCGAAGAGAAAGAAAAAAAGAAAACAAAAACAAATTTGAAAGAAGAGCATAAAGTAAAACAAACTCGAACTAGTGACCCCTTGTGAATGATCTGTTTTTCACAAAACATGGGAATTCGAAAGCGGGCATCTTAAAGAAATTTAAGCAGAACTTTCCTTGCATTAATCTCGTTAGGAAGTAAAACCGCCCACATATACTTAACTCGCAAATTCCAGAAAGCGAACATCATTATCTCTTTTCGCAAAATAATCAATTTCGATGAGTTCCGAGATTTTTTTAAGTTTCTCCCAGATAAATTTTCAATATTCTGGGAATGTTTTTGTACAAGAAGTAGAAATTCAGCTGTTTCTTCGCCGAATACAGCCTGTGGTCTCCATAACCCAAAGTACCGTGTCGAAGAGGCGAATACGACCAACCATATCTCGCTGCATCCTTGTTCCCAGTCTCTCTATCTTCTCCACGCCTTCTCTCTTTCCGGTGGCCGAGAAGAGCAAAAATTCTTGGAAACGAGGTTTATGTCGCTGTTGCTGTTACCTATTCTGTTTGAGTGTCATTTGCAATAACCGCCAGGAATTCGTCCTCTCGGTTGGACTGGGTTGTTAGCTCATCACTAAGTCGCCATATTTTGATTCGCCCATGTGAATCACCAGTAGCAAGTGTCTGACGCCTGGAAACAAACAAACAAACAAATAAAAAACGAGGGTAATCGACTCTGATGGATACATTTCACAATATATGGGTCCTCGGTACCGGTTGTAACTTTTCCCAGACTTCTTACTGGGTACCGTGGCCTACTAGCCAGACAGTTCTATTTTTTCCCGCGTTTCTCGCCGTCGACACACCGTTTATTTTCATTTGCCGCGCTTGGCCGCAGACATTGCTGTCCGCGATTTTCTCTGGTTATGTGTTTTACGAGATTAGATTGTCGCTGACTCGTGAGTTACATCCTTTCCTACGCTCAGAACCTGTCAAACATGGGTTAACATAACAGAACATGTTTAGACCGAGCTCTGTCTTATTAGTTTACATCGGGTGCTAAAAAATAATGACAAAGTAATTTTTCTCTAATCCACAAGGCACGGATAAACTACACAGTGGCTACAACTAAACAAAGGAATACCTTTGAAGGTTGAACTCCAAGGAATATACCGGTGATCTGTCTGTTGTGACATCTAGCGTGATCACTGGGTTAATGCGGTCAACCTTGGAAAAAACAACACATTCTTACAGCCATTTTACAAAGCAACAGCAAATTATTATAATTTTTTTAATACCCTAACCAAAAATGGAGACTGAATATTAATATGGAAGGATAATTCTCAGAGCAAGAAAGCTAGCTCGAAAAAGGCGCAATGAGTGTTGCGAGATGTTCGAACAACTACGCTAAGTATGAAAATTGCCAGGCTAAAGGTAGTCGTCTTTCCAAACGTAATCCGTCCCATGAGTCAGTAGAGCTCATTTGGAACTAGTGTCGTAAAAGCAAAACCAAAGTAATCACAACAGCCAATCAGAGAGGAGAGAAATATCACAGAGAGCCAATCAGAAATAAAATTGTCTGAAGCGCGGGAAAAGGTGGGTGATCAAGCCGTGATTGGTTTTAGGTTTGAATCTGATTGGGTGAGAGGATGGCGAGAGTTTTCTGCACCAATCACAGAGCGAAGTAACGCAAAACTAATTTATTCCAGATTACTCTCGACACTCGATTGGAAAAACAACACCAAGATATTCTTTTCTTGCCGATTTCTATTGATTCTGTCTGAGAAAGAGAGGCTGACCGTAGTCAAAGAATTTTGTTCACCTGTCTCCAGAAGGATTCTTTCCGCAGTCTTGAAATTCACGGAGTTTTTTTTTAATGTTATTACTAATGATTCAATACACTTACTTTCAAATCATAGATCAGCAAGCGACCATCCGCAGTTACCACAGAAAATACCAACGGGCGTGAAGGAGACCAACGGACCCTAAATAGATATCCTGCTCCGGGCTCCACTGAAAATAGGGGCTTAGACTGTTTGAAAATGAAAGCACCTTAATATGAGGACCGTCCAGGAGAGGCCCATCGATGGTCAGAGTAAAATTGCTCTGATAAATAAGCGGCTTTTGAGTACAGTTTGCTGAGATAGGTGATTAACTTACATTTTCGTTGAAAGGGAGCCTACATTTATAGTTTGTTAAAGCGGATTGTCGTTTACCTTGTACATTTAGCAACATTTAAGAGGAACGTTTTTTCAAGGGTCATCAAAAACTTTATAAATATTGCAACCTTTGAGAGAATCAGAATTTTTTGAGGGACTCTAATGCAATGACACGAACAACAAAAGTGTTCCCACAGCTTTTATGTTGAAAACATTCTGATTTTCGATTTCGATGGAGGTTTGGCCAGTTTTCCACTTTCAAAGGTGGTTCAGTACCCCTCTATTGTTCATCAGTCCAGTGAACTCTCAGAAAAGAAGCGAAGTGTCACCAGATAAAAATATGCCCTACCTGTAACATGGAGTAAAGTCTAACAGTTGCGTCAGTACCACAAGTGAGGAACAGATTCCTGTGATAAGGTGAACAGTCAACAGAAAACACAGGCCCAAAATGAGGAGAGAAGGCAAAAGTTACTGGGGAACGTAACGGAACGGAGCTATGGACATCTGTGAGAAAACGAAGGACAGAGTTTGAGAAATGGTTCAATACGCTATTTCCGAGTTTAAGTGCTTTAGCTTTCTTGGATAAATCGAACAGTTCTGCTCTATTCTATCCGTTCCCAAATTTTGCACTAGCACCATGAACTTGTCCCTTGTCATATTAAATTGCAGAAAAAAAATCCAAAATTACGATATGACCCTGTAAGGTTTGAGTTATACGTTTACTACTTTGAAGTCATAAGTTTTTGAACAAGTGCCAGTCATTAAACTTTTCTTGTTCGAGTGGTGTGTATATATACGATACACTTCTTACTTGTCAGGGGAGGTCCTCTGGATGTCATGGAACATTTAAATACTCCCCCTGCCTCTGAGCCGAGCACAAACAGTGTACGGTCCTCGTGAGAAAAGCACATGCTAGTCACTGAAAGTGAAAGGAGTCAGTCAATACTCTGAAAACCTTTAAGCAAGGCAACCACAAATTTCACAACTACAAAATAATATAATGGTAGAAGCACTTTTGTTGTTGCCTATTGAAAGGTTTTGTGAATGATTCTCGGTTGTTTCTTTAACGCAACTAAAAAGAGGCTGCATGCAACACCTTCCAAGCAGTTTCCATGTTAAACGATGGACAAAACCATTCAAAATTGTTTGTTTAAAGTTAGACGCTTACAAACGTTTAAGACGAATGGAATTTATGTGGAAAAATCTTTATCTCGACTGCTTCTGTCGAGAATGAAATTTTCATAGAGCAATTCTAAATTTAGTGTCGAAACCAATTTAGTGTTGCATTGTTTTTACTTTCTTCTTCTCTGTGATTGGTCTAGCAAAACTCGTGCTTTCCTCCAAACCAATCAGAGGCAAAACTGACGCTAAACGCGCCGTGGTCATTCGCGTTTTCCCGCGCTACAGAAAGTTTGCTTTTTTTACATTCTAAGTTCTCGTCAAAACTGTAAGACAACTTTGTTCTTTCACTAAAAGAGGCAGCATCTACTGGTTTAACTCTGATAACATACACGGTATACTTAAGATACCCAACAGACGAAGAAAACCTTACAATACTTTTTAAAAATCACCTCCCATTTCAGCGTCACCGCGGGCTTTGCTCAAACGCATGCTCCGTGGGACACTGTCTGTCTGCAAAATGAAACCGCTGACTAGTTTGAGATCACGTGAGCCGGGAGTCATCTGCCATATCAGGACTTTGCCATCACCACTTATGCTAAGGATCTGGAAGCAAGTTAACATCAAAGAACATTAATGGTTTTGAAATCAGGTAATCCGATGATATCGTAATCATCTGTTGAAGAAAATCCCTTGACATACCTGATACTTAGTGGCCTTGGAGCTAGAGTCTAAAGTCCACAAGACCTTGAAGGGAAAAAAAAAAGGCTATGTTAAGTCAATAAGGAAGAACTTAAGAAACTGTGGTATGTTTTCAGTGGCAGATCCAGACCTTGAGCTAGGTGGGGGGGGAGGAATTTTGTGTGTGTACACCTGCCGGCTTTTCTTTCTTCCGTGAACTTTTCCAAGATAGGGGGGGGGAGGCATCCCAGCCCCCCCCTCTTGATCCACCACTGTGTTTTTCTTATATAAAAACTTTGTTTGCAGTTCAACAAAGTAAAATATTGTCAGCTTGGAGAGAGGAAGGCAACACAGCATTTGTTAAACAGTATACCTTGCTAACTGGTTCCCGGTGTGAATCTGATCCCATTCCTGATGTAGCAATGACAGTTTCATCCTCTCTTCCAGTGTCCCACACTTGTATCTCTCCTAAATAATACATGGCAGTTATCAAATACCCTCTGCTAACTAGATGTTGACACTTAATACAATATAATGATGATGCAATAACTCACAGAGGGAATTGCCAAAAATATGGATCTTCACACAAAGGAGAGCTGATCTCATGTCAGGCAGAGAGACACGTGCCTTTCCCTTTAGCTAATCGATTAAACTCTTGCAGTTGGGATTGGTTATAAATTAAAGATCTTTTGTTCATCTTGATCAAGATCCTTTAATCGAACAACAATCTCTGAGCACTTCTCTCAAAGACAATCAAGGAATCATTTAAATTTTGAACCAGGAAGATTGCAAACTATAACACACATGTACCATTAAATGATCCTCCAGCAATAACTGATGGCAGATTTGGATGAAAAGCAATACACATCAAACAACTCTGTTGAGAAAATAACAAGGAAAGAAAAGACAGCTCTATTATAATATTTTTTTATCACTGTTGCTCATAAGGGGTTACTTAACTCAACATCTACCCTTGACCAATGGACAAAAAAAAAGAACTTCTGCTTTTGGTCCTCTCTTTTGGTAGATGTACATACATGGACTAACTTTTTCAAAATATGAGGCATTCCCAGTAGGTGACTTGAAGTCTCAATGAAAACTTGTCTCTGAGATATAAGCAATCATTCCTGAAAGCGCGAGTACGTACAGATAGATCAATGGTGGTATCAGGCTTGTTTGGATCAAGTGTCCTCCTATCAATGTTCCAGGTACAGAGTGCAGACTGTCAAACGAATGATGATCACATCAGTTAATACACAAAGAATGGAATCATTCAAGATCAACTGAGGCTCTGAGCTAAGAATCAACCCTGCCCCAATGAGTCCATGGCTCCTTGAGAACTGGTTGCATTGTGTGACAATGACCGACAGGAATCTGTGAGGATCACTCCCATATTTAATCTTTTAAAAGTTTGTTGAGAGCTATTTTTCTATAATTCACAAGGTACATTCATATGTAACGTAAAATCCTGTAGAATACATATTTGTAATTTACACACCTTATGAGTGCACCAGTGTTCATGATCAAACCTTCCATAGCTGAAATTGTGTAGTTAAGTTGAACTTTTATCTTGATCTTGGTTTTAAACACTTGATGCAAAAAACATTCGCCATGAATAACAAAATGTATTTGCATCAAGAATAAAACACTTACACTGCAAAATTTTTCTGTAGGTGGTGAACAGCGGAAGCTAACCAAGTTTTCAAACTTTGACTATGTTGCTCTGCATCAAATTTCATACAGTTTTCAACCCGTCCAAAAAGTTTTCAGTTTTAAGAATGGAAATATTCCTTTGGGCTGTGGGAGTTAAAACTTAATAATAAGGATACGAGGCAGCTACTACTGAACCCGTAGAATTCCATGACAAGCCAGTAACTTGAAGCTGAAAATTGGGAGGAAAATGAAAAGTTATACAATTTTTTCAGGCTCTAAAGAACATCTAATAAATCAATGGACATACATATATGGACTAGCAAATGATTGCAATGAAACCAGAGACTTGCAGCAAAACCGGACAGTCCCAGGCTTTTGCTTAAAGGAAATGATCAAAAAAGGCACACAAAAAGCAGTGGTTTTAGACAAAAGAAAAATATAGCAATTTTGTAGACAACCACCCTCATTGCTTGTGGTTTTCCTGCTGGTCTGCTCATTTCCACTGAATTAGAGCCTAAGGCAGGATAATAGCAAAGATACCCAAGATGCATGGCCAGTTGTCCTTTTCAGGATTTCTCACATATTCAACAGCAATTAAGAACAAAGAAATTTTTAATATCAAATGCAAATTGGTTACCTCATCTTCACTTAGGGCTGCATTCGTCAATGTATGGGCACATGATACAGAGCTGGTTGATTCATCTAAGCTCACTTCATAACCTAGAAAGCATTCAGTCCAATGCAACTATCAAAAAGTAAGCCTGGTATAGCGTAAAAAAGCTCATTCCTCTTTCAATTGTAAGGAATGGCTGAGAACATCTCTCCTAGCCCCCTTGATTTCCCCTACGATTTCAGGATACCTCCAGGAGCAAATAGTTAGGTTTTTCAAAGATAGGGAGCAGGAGAAGGCAAAGTTTCAAAATCATGTAAATTAGGTTATATACTTGTACTTATGCATCGAGAAGGGTCAGCCATTGGAATATCTAGAGCATTAAGAAATTTTTGTTCCAAAAAGATTTTATGGACCCAAACATTATTGCAAACCCAATTTACAAGGTTTGTATATTGATGAGTTTAAAACAGTAACACAAAGAGAGAGAGGGGACAGGAGTATCCCAGAAAATACCTTGCCACACCTTTGGCTTGACCCCCTTGTACATTGTCATGTTTTAATTTCCAAACCAAGACCATAAACATAAAGCTAACAATTCTTTCACTACACATCAGGGTTAAGTATAAAAAACAACAGAACCCTAAAAACTACCACAATTTAAGTCTGTAAAAGAAGAAAAGCCCCGTGCTTCACTTTTCTCACTCTGAATTTCCAACAAAATTGAAGATGTGATATATGTCAACCTTTAAATGTCACGATCTCATTTAGCAATTCTCCTTACTGTCTGCCATAGAATTCTTGTTATATTGAATTGGAGAATTCACTATTGAATCAACTAATAATCCCCGAATTGATATTTTTCTTAGTTCTCATCACTTGTCTGATTGATAGATTCTATTAGTTATGTAAGGAGTAATTCTGTTGTGGTCACTCATGGGAGTTTAAGGGTAAGCATAGTAGTTACATGTGTAGTTTTTATAGCTAGTTTTTATCATTTTAATTTTTAACAGTGTCCAAACTGATAGCAGTGCTTAAGGCATCTGAATGGGCTACCCCGAATAAATAAAGTCTCTCTCTCTCTGCATCACCATATTGAAAACAAAAATCTCACTAAAATTAACTTTCAACAGACTTTAAAACACGCCTACTACAAAACTAGTTTCGTCCACAGACCTCTTCAAGTCTGTGGACCAAACTAGTTTTGTAGACTAGGCGTGTTTTAAAGTGCGTTGAAAGTTAATTTTAGTGAGGTTTTTGTTTTCAATATGGTGCTGAATGATACTTTCTTAGCTTCGACAATCAAAATTTCGGAAAAATCTCTCTACATCTTACCATCAAAAGCATGGCTTGTAATGTTGGTTTGTAACTGTTGACTCAGCTCAGGATAGACTCTTAGTATGAAGTTAACAAGATTCTTCAAAACAGAGAAAAAGCCAAATTCAAGAAAATGTAAAAGGTACATAAAAAAATAACACATACATTATCCTACTTCAGTAAACAATTTTTTTTTTTAATAAACTGAGTTGATATTAATAAGTAAAATGGCCAGCATACAAACTCTGACTTTTCAAGTGTTTTCCCTGTGTCAGAGCAAGTGAAACATATGGTGCAGACTTCAAACCAGACAAGTCAACTCCTTGGTTTGTTCGTGTACAAGAACTCACATTTATGACTTGGAAAGAAAACAAACCGTAAAAAAATAATTTTAAAAAATTTTGATCACATGAATCAATGATAATAAAATAAACAACAACAACATTTGCATACCGGATTCTCTTCTTCAACAACAAAGACAAGTTTTCCTTTTTCATCTTCTTCTTCTGTTTGAGTCTATGGTGAACAAATAATGAAGTGCAAGTCTCCAGTTCATTGAATGCATCTAATATTTTTCTGATTGGACTGTGGACCCCCATTTAAATCTCTTAACCCTTTTCATTTTCAAAAATATCTCATGAGTAATTCTCCTCATGGTCTGCGATAGAATTTTCATGATATTAGTTTCGAGAATTTGGTATCGGATCGACTAATAATCCCCTAATTGATATTTTTCTTTATTCTCACCACTTGTCTGCTTGATATTGTATTGGTATGGTAAGAAGAAATTATCTCTTGGTCATTCATTGGAGTTAAAATATGGGTTAAGTTCATGAAGGGAGAATAGGATAAAGTGGAAGAAAAAATCAGAAAGAAAGGAGAGAAGGGGGAGAGGGGAGAGAGGGCCAAGAGATTCAGATTTCTAGAGATGGAATCTCTGGCAATTATTTTTATTCAATGGAGCGCTGTTTCACATCAATTTTGCGATCCTATCATTGTGGCAATCCTAACTTACAGCTTTAACTTAGTTCGTTTGTGATAATAACAGTAGCCCATAATAGAGAATGTTTTGAAGTACCTCGGCATCTACCCGATGGATTGACTGTACGTCTGCCTCATAAGTAATAATCTCACTGGTTTGAGCCCCTGCATCTTTGGTGGACCTTTGAAAATAAAGTGAATTTTTTTTTTGCATGAATACTTGCTTACTTTAATTTGAAGATGCATAACAACCTGACAACACAGATGCTGTAATTAACCTCTTTTAATTTCTCGCATGATTTGTCACGCCAGCTTGATTTTAATTTTCTTTGTAATAAAAAAAAACACACACACACACATGAAACTACTCTCATAGCTTAATACATTAAATTTCAGCTTGATGTACCGGCATTTTAAATCCTAGCGTAAAACTTAAATTCACCGTGTCTCACCTTTCGGTTTTCCACGATGACTTAAATTCTACTGACTCTTGTGCTTCATCGTTAAACATAATATTAAGAAGAAAGATAATTCTGTTTGCTTTCTGATCAACAAACCAATATTTTTCTCTACCAAAAGCTTTTTTTCTGTGCCTAAATTAGAAGTTGTTTTTCCAGCGATCCAATATGGCGTCCGATCTGTTTACCAAATTTAGAAGTGGCAACAGAGCACTATTTATCTCTGGTAGCTATGGTAACTACATCAGGAACAATCCGTAGCAGAGGCGAAGTCAAAATGGCTGCGAGTAAAACAGCTTCGAGTTTCCACAGTATGCCGCATAGAAACGGTACTTATGTGGCTAACCATGGAGGTAATTCTCCCGCAGATGGTACCCCAGACTTACATCTCAAAATGTCGAAAAAGATCGCTCAACTTACCAAAGTTATTTACGCGCTCAACACCAAAAATGATGAGCACGAAAATGTTTTGGAATACATGAAAACGGCCCATGAAGAAGAGATGCAGAAGCTTATGGCGGAAACAAAAGAAAGAGTGAACTATTTTAAAACAAGGTTAAATGCTGTTTCTGAACAAAGGCAGACGATCGATTTGTTAGAGTCGCATTTGTCGAAGGAACGGCTCCAACGAGAAGAGGCGATGTCGGAATTTGAGAGATTCAAGCGCCGAACAGATGATGAAGAAGCTCGTTTGAAATCAGAGTTTTCTGATAGGATTTTAACCATGTCCAAGGAATTACTGGCCTCTAAAAAGGAGTTCGAAGAACGCTTGAAGGATTTTCAGGCCACAAGGAAACTGCTAGAGGAAGATAGGGACAAAGCTGTTGAGGAGTTAACGAGCAAACATCACGACGAGATCGACCAGCTTATGAAAGCTCACCGTGTGCGTTATGATGAAGTTGTAAAGGAAAAACAAAGACTTGAAAAAGAATTTCAGGAGAAGCTTGCTCGGGCAGAATCTTCTAGTGATGCTGTGACGGAAGAAAGACGTAGAATTGAATCTGAGTATCAAGAAAAATTGGACAAACTGAAAGCATTTTACGAAAAGGAACTGGCTGCTTCGCGAACTTTGCAAGAAAATTCCAAAGAAATGCAATTGAAAGAGTGGGAAAGTAGAGAGAGGGCTCTTAAATCCGAATGGAACAGACAAGAACGAATCTTTAAGGACAGGATTTCAGAGTTACTAAATCAACTAAGTGATGGAGAGCAACATATGTCCATTTTAAAAACGCAACTAAAGGAACTGGAATCCAAACTCGAAGGTAAAGAAGGTGACTCAACGACTTTGGCGAAACAACTCGAGGACGCGAGACTAGAGGGATCCAAAGCCTTGAAAAGTTTAAGGGAGACGGAAAATAACTTAACTGTGTCGAAAAAACGGTGTGAGGAGCAGGAGGCCGAAATTGCTCGTCAATCAAGTAAGTAAAGTTATTTGATTCGTCTACGATACAAACTAAATTACATTAATTTTAATATTATCATGGGATTTTTTTGAACGTTCATTGTTGGAGTTAATCTGTTTTACGTTCCTTCTGTAATTTTTAATTCTGTTAATGTTATTTTTGCTATTATTTCTTTAAATATTTTACAGAAATTTAGTTTGATCATAGATCGAATATTTAGATTTCCTCTGAAAAATTAATATATTTGTTTTGTTAACAAGTGATCTATTATGGGGAGTGTGTTTATTGTTATTCAATACTATTCAAGGACAGATGGACATATTCAAAATTCAAAGGCTGCATAATGGGGTACTTTTTTGACATTTCCTTTTATTCTTGTACTTAACTATCTTGTGGGAAAAACATTTTAGCAGCCACACGTTAGGTTTGTCTATGAAACATTTAACAGTTCTCTGGAAGGTTTGATCTCTGCATTGCTTTCATGTTTAAGACTCACATCTCAGTTAGTACATATGCTATGATTTGTCAATTCAGCTGGTTGTATTTCATTGTTTAACCTGCTAAATTAAAAACTTTGTTTGAATTGAAATCTTTCCCCTTATTTGAAACAAGAGATATCTAACAAAATTAATAACAAATTAACCTTCTCATTCTGTTCAACTGTAAGCTACATAACATTTTTTCAGCTTGGATTTATGTCCTGTATGCTTTGTGTTGTAGCAATAAATTGAAATGGAAAATATTGACATGGGTTGTAACTTTATTAACAGCAGGGACCTTGTGCTCGATTAGTTAGAGGTATATATTGGTTCTACATTCAATCCATAAATGGACTTTTGATGTCCCTAGTACAGTTTGGATGGGATTATTTTCTAATGAGTTGTATAATTTATGTTCCATGACATCATGTTAGTGGTAAAACTATTTTTTATTTCTATGAAACAGATGGTTACAAATCTACATCTATAGATATCGCTATCGCTGGGTTAAAAGTAGCAAACTGTGAGTTCAATCATCCCACTGCATTCCACTTGCAATCCACTCACTAATCACTAAAAAATAAACTTTTCATCACTTTTCACCAAATTCCACAAACAAGTTAATCACTTATCACTCACTCACAGTATAATATTTACCCTTTACACTCTAACATTTGTGTGCATAATTATACATATTCTCCATTATAACTGTTCCCTGTATTAAGGTGATGCAAAGGAGAATAATTTGTTTAACAATCAAGAGCTTCTTCTCTTGTTGATCATTTCCTTTATTCTCCTGACCTTTATGTGTGATTCAGGGGTGATGTTGTAAGGAGAAATTAGCTACTAGTCACTCTTAGTTGTTAAAGGGTCAAATGCTATAAAATTCTTCTTTAGTTTATTTTCAGCTGAGTGTGTAATTCATGAGTTCTTCTATGCTAACAAATGAAAATTATTTCAAACAGTGCAAATCAGCAAACTTGATGCAACCAAGTTGTCTCAAGAAACAACAATCAAGGAACTGAAAACAAACATTACAAGCTTAAAAAGTAAATTGAGCAAGCTAGAGTCCGAACATAATGATCTAGGAAAGAAGTTCAGTTCACACACAGTAGAAACAGACTTGGAGAGCAAGCGTCTTCAAAAGGTTAGTTTACGAATTCCTCACTGTTACATAGCCCTGAACAGATAACAAGACTCTCACATCTTTCATATATGAAATTTGACACTTCTACTTACAGAGAATTGGAAAAGTTGAAAGAAGAATAAGGATTCATCAAAGAATCTAAAGCTAGTACATACTGTAAACACAGGGGTATAAGTGGCACCTTTTTTAATGATTTGTTAAATGTTTCATATACCGTTTACCACCCATATCTTTATTCACAGATCCTTGAGTTCTTTTAATCCATTAAGTAAAATCTGATTGTTAGTTCTCTCATCAAGCTATGACACACTTGTAAAATATGTATGAGAATTTGGTTTTAGATCAATGAACTCAAGTTTGAGTGTTCTCATTAACTGTTTGTTGGATAATTTATATATCTTTTAATGCCTTTAAGTTTGTGATGACTTATTTGGGTTTGTTTCTTAAAGGAAATTGAGAAACTTTCAAGGGAGAAGGAAGACTTGGAATCAAAATACAATGCTGAGTTGAAAAGAGCTGGTGAACAATCTACTAGCAAGGAATTGTCACTGAGAAAAGAACTTGAAGAAGTCACGGCAAAGTTGAAGAAAGATCACAGCAAAGAACTTGAGGATATTAAGACAAAACTTGGTATTGACCATAATAACCACATTAAGAATTTACATCAAGAATTTCAAGATAGCTTGTCTCAGAAAGAGAGAGAACTTTTGGAGAAGTCAGAGCAAGAACTTGATAGATTGCGAGTAGAGAAAAATGAGGTTATTGCTGAGTTTGAGAATCATTGCAGGGACTTGAAAAATAAGTTGAGGGCGTCTGAAGATGAAGTTCAGAGATTGGAGAAGCTGGTTCATGATGGTGAGAAAGGACTGGGGTCTGCATCATCGCACATTGACAGCTTGAAAACAGCCCTTAGTCAGACTAAGGAGGAATTACAAAAGACAAAGGCTGACTTGCAAGAGGCTGAAAACAAGTACGCAAAGTCAATGGTAAGATCTTTTGGCTTGTTGAAAGTCAAACATCAATGAAAATCTAAAAACTAATTTGAGTAGGTCATCAGTATTGTTAGTTGTTGTTAGAAGTTTAACTGGCTTCATGTCGTAGTAAGTTATAGTTTGCATTACAGCTCTTTGTTTAAAATAAGGCTTGGCAAGAATTTTGCACCATAGAATTGTTGCATGGGAATTAGAACTCTGAATTGAACACATGAACTGCTCCAAAAAAAATGCCAGGTGTACACAGCTGCTACTCTGATCCTACTTGAAGAACTTGTAGATTTTTTTAAAATAATTTTTTGTCTAAAACCAAACAATAAAAAGTTTAATTTATCTCCAGTCCAAAGAAGCTTTGAAGGAACACTGTTATGAGCTGGTGGATATGTTGTTGTTGTTAGCGAATAATAATCAAAATGATTTTAAGATACTGTACTTTAACTTGCATTTTTTTTTATGACAGAATGATTTACAATTGTGTATTGAGAATATTATTATTCATACTAATCAGTAGATTTTGTTGTCATGCATTTGTCTAATATATTAACAAAACTCTTATTTTTGATCAGGATGATATGTACAGGCTAGAAACACTCCATGACAAAGCTCTAAAGGATGCTAGATTAGACTCAGAGGCTCAACTAACATCACTTACCAATGAGTTGGACACTAAATGGAGTGAAAAATTAAGGTAAGTTCTCTTTGACTTTGAGAGAGATCTTTTTTACACAGTCAAGTAAAAAGTTAAGTCTGTACTCAAGCCAGGTTACCCCCAGCATTTTATCAGGCTTCCCTGACAATTCACCAGTACCCATTTACACTGTTGGGTGGAGAAAGGCACTGGGAGAGCAAAGTGTTTTGCCCAAGAATACAACACATTGCAGGGCTTGAAACTAACTTTTCAACTTACCAGCCAAGTGGCTAGTGACGACTTAGATGTTACAGCAGTTTCACTTTGTTTGCTAGCCAAACTAGCAAATGGAAATTGAAAACCATTAACCAAAACTGAATTTTTACTAGTGTGTGGCTTAGCTTGTTGGCTACCATAAGTGTCGAGTCCTGCATTGACCCAGCCTGGTCTTGAACCAGGACCTCTCAACCCAAAGCTTGATCAGTGCTGTAACAATTAGGCCACCGAGTCTCATAGTTGTACACAAGGGAATGCACCAAACATAACTGTCATATTAACCATGCATGCTTCAAAAGCACTTGTGAATCAGTAAATGGCATAGTAAGTAAAATTCAAAATGTGCATTCACCTCACAATAATGTTGTTGAATGGGTAATTTTTTTTTTCCAAATAACAGAATAGGTATAGTGCAGCTCAGAAATATGCAGCCACAAAAATGAGCGGTTAACATTCAGTGCGTAATTTGTTTCCTTGTGACTTTCAGGGATGAATGCAGTAATCTGCGCTCTCAGCTGAATGAACAGCACAGAGAGGAAAATCGTGTGTCACTAGAGCAGCTGACAAAGCTAAAAGATATGCAGAGAGAAGAACTGAGAGCAGAGTTGCAAAGTAAAATTGATGCTCTGAAGAAAACTGTAAGTGCACAGACAGTATGATACTATTTAGGCTTTGAAGCAATTTTTCTGCTGATGATAATTTAGAGACTGAAATGCGTTACAATGAGCATATTTCAGATGATCTCTATAGGGGAATCCTTGTTTACAATATTTGCCTCATTAGCATAAGCAATTCAGTTTCTGATGGAGCTAAAAATAAATCAGTTCTGAATATCAAAAGGTCAAAGTACGATTAACTCCGCCAATGAATACGAGCCTGATGCATTGAATACTTTTTGTGCAACACGGGTTTAAAAACTCAAAATTTTACATAGAATGTATGAGCTCATTAGCACTTTTGCCACCCAGAAATTTTGCAGTTTTTGATGGACTATTTCTCCTTGAATATTACACCCAAAGAGCTAAAAATTTCATCATGTACTAAGGTTTTCTAGCTCTTTAGCTGCCTGAAGTCAATTTGTATCTAACATGCTTCCTTCTTTACGCAGAGCCGTATGCAAATGAGCAAAAATGTAAACAATGACGTCAGCATGAATCCGCCTATACTGAGTTCAGAGTTTGAACTCATTTGAATAACGATTAGATTTGGATTGAAACTTTGTAAGGGAAAATGGATGGTTTAACCAACTTAAGTTTGGTTCTTTGTAAACAGGTCGCACATCTTGCCATTGCTAAGAAATGCATTCTTGAACACTCCAAGAAGTTTGTTAGTACCAATCTCTTGACACAAATAAACTTGCAGAGTTATTTAATAAGTAATTGTTAATAATACAAGCACCTTTTCACTGTAATTTGGGTGGTATAGTTTGTCATGTAACTTGTACTTGAAATTGTTCAGGGTTATTATTTGAAAAAAAATGCCAGCTGTCAGACCATTTTGCACTTGGCAACTTTGCCAAACTTTTTCAAATACTGAAAATAACTATCTTTTAACTGACTCTAACATACCAGTAAATGTTTGGCTCAAAAAAAGTTACAAAAATTTCTCCCAAAGGTTTTCAATGTTTTTTTTTTATTTTTTTTTTTTGAGGGGGGGGGGGAGGAGCATGCCCTCAGATTCCCTAGAAGGACATTTTGTTGTGAAGTTGGGGTTACTGCAAAAAATTTTCAAGAGGATTTGAAGCTGGGTCTGCTAGATTTGCAGATTTATACAGTTCTGTTCACTCCTCAGTCATGCACATGTTTTATATTAAACTAAAGCTTTCTAATTGTTCAGATTGCTGAAACTCGAGGTGATTTGGAAAGGGCCAACCGGAATGCTACAACAGCTAAGCTTGACCTTCGCAAAGAATTTGACTCACAGAGGAAACACATGGAGGAAGAAATGTCTGCATTATCTCTACAGCACAACAAGAGACTGGAGGAATTGATAGAAAAACACAAGGAAGAGCTCAAGAAGCTAGAGGGCCTCAAAGATGAAGAAATGAAGGTACATGCTGGGTTATTTCAGGTTCTTAATCAGGGTGTTGAATGGTTTATATTTTATTTTAAGCCCAAATTTAATATGTTTATGCGATGCGTGAATGTTACAGAAAGGCAATTAGAAAGTAAGGTGAGATTTGAAGTTTTCCCTTTTAAAATCATGATATGTGAAATACTTTTTAACGTACAAGCAAATTGTCTAAAATTTGTACAGGAATCAGGATCCCCCTTTGCTGTCCTGTTTAACCCTTTATGCCATAACATCAGTAGGCATGTTCTCATTACTGTACAGTTCTCTTTACATTTCCCATGGTGATGACATTAGGAGAATTTGATTAACAATCAAGACTTTTTATAGTTGGTAATCACTTCGTTTATTCCTGTGATCTTCATGTGTGATTCAGGGGTGATATTGCTAGGAGAAATTAGATGCCAGTCACTCTTAGGGCGTGAAAGAGTTAATTTTTAGGTGGATATTCAGACAGTGTTTCAATTCTAGCCAATGAGGGGAGATGGTACCGCCATACAGAGGCTATTAGCAAGGCTGTGGTTTAGCAGTGCCCAGTGGCCCCTGGGGCACGTTTCTCGAAAGTCCCGGTAACTTAACGAACCCGTAAAGCGGTTCTGTTTTCATTCAGGATGGGAATTTCAAAAGTTTTGAAAACAACAAAATGAAACCATCAACTAAAGAAACAAAATGGAGTGGTTTGGGGGCTAGAACCTGCTTTTATATCCTTTGAATTTTTATTTTAAAACATGGCCTCGGGCCCGCTAAGTTACCGGAATTTCGAGAAACGGGCCCCTGGTGCCTTACTTTTGCTCTTGGGTGACTCAGGAATTTTAGTTTTTCATACAAAGCATATGCTGGGCACCCTGGATTTCACAGTTTCAGAGCACTGGGCTCCATTCAATTTTCCTTAGAGCACAGTGTTGTATTAGATATCAAGTTTTAAGTCTATGATAATAATATTATACGTACTTAACAATTTCTTATTTGGTATAAATTGATTAAATTTTTTCAGCAAGGAAACAAGTGGCCAATTTCTCCTGTTTTTAAAGGTAATATTGCATGCACAAACTAGTCATGATGTCTTCTTTTACCTTTTTTCTCAGGAACGTGAGAGCACATTACAGAAGAGTCACAGAGATGAGATCACATCTCAACTGCATGCAAATAAACTCATGATAGATGCTGTCAAATCCCAAGCTGAACAGACACACATAAAAGACATTGAAGAGATAAAAGTCAAACATGAAAATGATCAAGGTTAGAGTCTTTTTGAAAACTTTTTTCATACAATATTAGTCATTGCAAGCAATAAATTGTACTGTATTTGTGGCTTTTCTGATTTAAGTCAAAGATTTTTTAAAAGACTTGTTGCTGAAGTGCACATACTGCCATTTTCATGGCACAATTTCATTGTTTATAGTAAATGCATTGAGACCAATACAACTCCAGCTTTGTAGTCAAAATTGTTGATTTTACACTCCAGCTTGAAATCGTGAGATTGTTTCATTGTTGTTATCTTTGAATAGAAATTAAGCTTTTTAACATAATGAAGAAATTGAGATAGTTGTGGACCTTGAAACAATTTTTGTAAAAGCTGTGCATTTTTTCCTTGTGAATTTTGTATCCTTATTCTTTTTATAAGTCTCTTTGTCCTTTGCATGCAAATACAGTGTTTATCATTTCTTTTTACAGAAAATATGAGAAGTGAGCTGTTGCGTGTACAACAGGAGGAAATGCAGAGATTGCATAGAGAATTTGAAGTTCAATTAGCAGCTGTGAAACTTCAACTTCAACGTGCCAACGAGATGCACTCCAAAGATGTAAGTAATAACGACTGTAATTGAAAATAAGTTTGTTTCTCAGACTCTTCTTTCAGCAACAAGTAGGCTAGTAGGCATCTATTGCCTTTTCCCCACTACTCTGAGTTATTATTCCTCTTCTTACTCTATCATTTTAATAACAGTCACTGCAATCCTCTGAGCAATTTTGGCCGTAAGAGGAAAGTGGCTGCCTACAGTTACAATCTAATTCTCAATCTCTGCTCCTAACTCATACAACAACTATTTTTTGCTGCTCAGGAAAATGAACATCAGAATCAGATAGAAGAGCTTAGACGAGAGATTGAAGAGAGAGAGTGCCATCTAAAAGAACTGGATGAGGAAATCAGGGAAGTTAAAAGCAATGTAGAAGAGCTTCAACACGAACTGCAAGCCAAAGGGCAGGAGATACTTAGTGTCAGACGGGAGGCTAATTCACAAATGAGGTTTGATTGGTGCTTTTCTAAGTTTAGATTACATAAGTATCCATATTCTTACAGTATATGAGTAGTGTCAATATTCAGAGGTTTCTTAAAGGTTTCTTTTCTCATGAACACCTACTGGTTAAAATCTTGCTAGGAGTGCTGCCCAGAGTTGCTTATTTTGTTAAGCATCTTAGCTTGGAGAACTTTTTGACAACTACAGCATCCAAAATTCTTTGGCTAGATAGCAGACTTATATTTTTAGTTGCGTTCTTTTCTTTCTCGAGCACTTGCAATTGAAAGCATGTATATTTACTCAACATTTTGCTTCTTTTTTTCAGGAAACGAGAAGAGGACCTGGCTAGATCACATCAGAAAGAGGTGGACGCTATAGCAGCAGAGCATTTGCGCGAGACTCAGGCCTTGCTGACAGAGTTCAACAGATCCAAGGAACTTCTCAGCGACAAGATTTCTGCTTTACAATTAATGTGAGTCTATAGAGGTTCATGAAGGTGCCCTATTTGGAAAATTTTCATATTCACAAGACCAAATGTCTGTCAACCCAATACTACCATGAAAATTTAAGAAGCTCTTCAAAATTAATGTAATTTTTTGTTGTCAACAGGCTGGAGGAAGCTGAAGAAAAATTCAGGAGCCGACAGTCGCGACCAGAAGACCTGGAAGTTATTGAACAACTCAGGAGGGCCCTGGCTGAGAGGGAACTGGATATGAAGAGACTTGTGGTCAGTTTAAATTTTAATACACTTTCCAGAATTTTGTTTGAATTTTTTCTCTGACCATCACTTTTTGGAAGTGGCTGGCTCCTCGATGAGTATGTGCCACTTCAGTCATGTTATGCATCATGTGATTGTTTATCAGATATTCAATCTCAAATGATAAATTTTTGATCAAGCTACTTTTCAGTTTTGTTGCATTAGATTTAGCCAAGCTCAAATGAGGAGCTCCATTTTGCATATCTACTTTCCCCATGTGTGTCCCCCTTAGCTCTGCATGTGACCATTAAACAACTTGGCATGCATGTGAACGTTGCAGATTTGTATCCAAGGGTTGACGCTGAATCAAAGCTGTTATCATTTTGAAGTACCCCCATACTAATGCTGTCTCCTTTTTTGGGTTCATAGGATGAGAAGAGGTATTTTCAACTGGAGCTTCTCAACAGGGAAACAAACTTCAATAAAGTTTTCAAAGCAGCTCCAAATATTGGTGTCATCAACCCACTGCAGGCTAAAACAAAACCAGGAAAGGGAGGGGTGCGACAAGGCAGTACTCTTGTCATGAACTCATCGCAGCTGGAACCTATCCCTAACATGCCTGTGCATGAGAAAAAACTTAATAACAGTCGGCCCCTACCGCCAACCCCACCAAAGGAACCTCCATCCCACAGGAAGACTACAGTCTACTAAAAAAAAATACTGGACTGTCTTCTGACTTGTTACATACATTGCAATGTTGATATGACTCCGTCTCTTTGTCGTGTAATTGAATCCTTAAGATAAAGTGCTCACTTTGTTGTATCTTTACCTGTAAATACAGTATTGGCGTAATTATCAAACAAGGGAGCTGTGAGATGCCCACTGGGCTTCTTTTGTATATCTCAAAACGTTTCCCCATACTAACTGGCTGCCCTCATTAGAAAAATTTGATGGACATGTCTTCCAACCTTCAACACATGTATAGTGTACAGCAGAATGTAAATAATAGAACTGTATGGAATTTTGCATTAGGAAGTTGTTTGTACACAATGCAGTATAGTAATAAATGTATAAAAAGTGTTTGCATCTATGCGTAATAAGGGTTCTAGTGCTCAGGAAAGAAATCATACCAATTGTTGTTCTGGAAGATTTTACCTAGTATACATTATAGGGCAGGACAAGTAATATCATTTAGTTGCAACTGTGCCTCTGTAAAGATCATTTGGCCAAGGATTGCAAGGGCTCTGCCTAAAAGGGACTGAGGATTCTTCTCAAAAATTAGGGTTTTCCAATGACTAGAGGTAAATAAAAGTGTAGAATATAACTTTTCAAGGGTCAGAGGAGGGCGAGTTAAAAAAACAAAAAAAACAAAACAAAAACATCATTTAGTTATTAAGTACTCCCCTCTCCACACAATGTTAAGGGAAAGGGTTTGGCTTTTCTCACCTTTTCCTGAAGGGTGAGTTTTATTTCAGTTTCTCAATCCCAATATTTTCATTTTCTGACATATGCCCAAGCTTTCATTTAAGGTAGAAAGCAGCAACCGAATTGAAAGAGTGATCTGAGGAGGGCTGGCTGAGTATGGAATGATCCTGTCTCAATATTTTAGTGCACATCATTGAGTGTAGCACAGGCAGTCAAAGAGTAACTGTCCCAAAATAATTTAACAAAAGCTATAGGAAAAAAAATTGCTGATTCCTTATACATTCAATATTATTTAAATTTGTGGTTGGGCTAAAAAGAGATCAGTTGCCCTTTGGTTTCCTTGGACATAACTGTACTTTAACCAATTCCACGAAAATCTCCGAGGGTAGGGAGGGTGGGGAATTATTGTGGCTGTAATAATCGGCGAGGTAAAGATTAGGAGACGGGCATCTCATGAATGAATGATATAATTTTTTGTAAAAAGTCACGAAAAGGGTACACGCTTTATAAAACATGAACTAAGTTATGAGAGCAACAGACGAAATCCACATGAAGGTTAAAACTAATTGTTTTAAAAAATGAGCGTTTGCCAACCTCGTCTGAAAACATACGCATTAAACTAAAGGGTAACACGACTTAAAATTAAACTAGTCTGAAATGAAACAACAAGGTTCAAACTAACCTGCCCCAGTGACCGACGAGAGCCACTGTGAGCATGGAACTTTTCAATTTATGATGGGATTAATAATGAGAACGATTAAAAAAACATGGCCGTCCGTCGGGAGAAGTCATGAAAACAATAAAATTAGCAGGTGAAAGTCACACAAAGAAACCGAATGAATGCACTAAAATAGTGCCGAAAAATTACGCTTTGTTAAACATGTGTCAAACTTTTTAGATGTGGGTTATCGATGCGAATGCTTAAAGCTTTCCCCACAGGAATCAAACTTCCACAGGTGTACCATTTTGCTCCGTAGTCGTTACTCCGCCATCCACACCGCTCTTATCGGCTTTCTTTGATGACGATCTTTTCTTTTTAGGCAGTAAATTTGTCGTTTGAAGCTTAATCCCAGCTCTTTGATTCGCTACACGACTGCTCACCCTTTCCGGAGCTTGTCTTTCCTTCTTCCCCGTCTTCGGTTTCTTGGCGGCTGGTTCGTCACTATCAGTCTTCTTTGGTCTTCCACGTTGTCTTCTAGAAGGTTGTTCTTGATTCGATTTCTCCTCTGCTTCTCCGTCTTCTTTAGAGGCTTCTTCGTCGCCATGTGCTTTCTCTTCCTCGGTTACCTCAGGTTGCTCCGTCGATTCCTTGCCCTCATTGTCAACCACCGCTGTTTCAGTAGCACTAGGTTCACCCGTTTCTTCGACTGCAGATTTCTCTTCGGTCATAGCGGTCTATTTGTCCTTATTTCCTCGATCTTTCGTCGATCTATTTACCATTCCGAGCGAACAAACTTTACTGCCCTCAAAGCGATCACACTCTAGCGGACACAAACAGGATGTGCTTCATTCGGTGAAAACCACTAAAACCGGTTTTGAACCAGTTTTTTTTGACAGACATCGATCAAATAATGATCTTCTTGCTTTTGATTGACAGCAACAAATTCTCATTGTTTCAAACTCTTGACATCACAACAGCGTAAGGTCTCATCCAGATGTTATGTCATGTATGTCATTACTTTTCTATTTATGGATAAGATGAAAGCTAATTCTTGTAATGGCTACTTGACTAGTTAATGAACTGCAGAGAAAATAAATCGACTGGTGCATAGAACGTGCGGGGTTTTCCCTTACTAAGAGCGAAATTCATATAAGCGTCATCATAGTATCCATAGGGCTTTCGTTACGAAAACATTTACTGACTATTCCCTTTTTCCTTAGTACAAATTATTCCCATAGAAAATGGATCTGCTCGAAATGAGCCAAAAACTATCTTTTTCTGAAAATCAAACTTACAAATAATGATAATCATGCCATATTTCTATGAAAGTCTCAAATAAAATAGTCAAAGGCTTTTGAAATTCCCTGACTTTGCCTAACAAACGTAAAATTTCCCTAACCAACTGAATTTACTATTTCGCTAAAAATTGTGATTATGACTTCCAACTCTACCTCAAAGCCATCTTCTCCATTCCTAAAACTATGCTTTCAGCTAGTCACACAGAGTGTGCATAAATTGTTATTTCCTTAAGGTACCATGGAAAATTGATCAATTTTCCTGGAAACTCAAATTCCTGTTGTTGATCAATTTTATCAAACAATATTTGACCAGTTCAACACCTTTCATGTCTGTGAAATGTAACAAACAATTTGAAATATTAGAAATCAAAAATTGACAAAAAAGAAAATGTATGATTTTATTCACTTGGACTTGCATTACAAAGGGAACGGATATCATAATGTGGATCAAGAATCTGTGAACTGTATAAAACAACGTACCTGAGTAACATTAACATCACAAATCTTTCATTATGAAGAGGGTTACGACTGGAGAAACAAATTCATATTGTACTTGAAGTTCACTTTTCTCGGGCTTCTTCCAGACCCAAAATGAAATTCCTTGACTTTTTCTTGACCTTGAAGAAATTTATTTCTCCCTGACTTTTTCCAGACCTGTGGTGACCATGTCTTTGTACTAAAACCTTGGCTGGGGAGCTTAATTTTCCCCATAGTGGTACCTTGGTAAAAATATTACCTTAACACACCAAACTAAGGGCAAACAATTTTAATTGCTAAATAAATTAACAATTAAAATTGTTACCGTTACTGCACAATAATTATTATATTACTCCTCACAGTAACACACTGTAATTATTTTTCACAGGATGGACCCATCTTTAGTTAATAAAAAAGCACAGATTACAGTAAATCAAGAGGAGAAACACATCTAAGAGGAATAATGATGTTCTAATAGAAATCAACATTTTAAATATTAACAGTTTAGTGCTAAGTGATAAAGGCTGTTTTTAGTGCGGTAAGTCAGCTTTATCCAGGTTTTGACTTTCCATGTCTTAACTCATTTCTCTCTTTATACATTAGATCAGAAGCATAGTTACCATATGCAAATATTGTGGAGTAGTTTGGTTATACTAATATTCAAATTAAGTCCCAGCAGTTGATAGAAGCAAGATGTAAACTTGATCTCATCACGTCTTTTAACCTAACTATGCAAAGTCAGATGTTATCAAGGGGTGTTGAAATCCAAGTTGGTTGGTGCCACAGGTGACATAATTGTTTCATGGTCAGCAGTTATATTTGCAAGTGATAATTCTTGGGTGAAGGCATCTGCACTCTCTCTGGCACCATCTCCACTAGACCGGCTGTTGGAAATTTGGCGAAGCAGTCCTTTGCCCTCTTCTCTACCCTAAGGAAACCAAACTAATTAAACATAATGGAAGACAAAAAGAAAGAAACTAAGGAGGAAAATAGAAGAGAGATTGGGGAAAGAAGGCAAATAAACGATGGGATAGGAGGCAAGAAATGGTAAGAGGAAGCAATGAAGGGGTGGATTAAAGGAGGGATGGAGCCGGTTAAAAAGAAGGGAGTTGGCAGGGTGGAAAGGAGGAAGAGAACAGGGTTTAAAGAAGGAGGAGAGTAAAGTGGAATGAATGAACAGGGTGCAAAGAAGGGAGTCAGCAGGGTGGAAAGGAGGGAGCATGGAAAGGAGAAAAGGGTGAGGGTGGAAAAGACAGAGAGTGAGTAACCGCCTCCCGGTTAGCTCAATGGATAGAGCGCTGGACTGTTGTGCGGGAGGTCGAGGGTTCGAGCCCCGGCCGGACCAACACTCAAGGTCTTAAAATAATTGAGAAGAATTTGCTACCTTTCTATAACATCAAGAAATGGTTAGATATTCTAGTCTTCTCGGATAGGGACGAATAAATGGAGGTCCCGTCTCCTGCAGGGTTACNACATTGATGCATTTAAATCGGACATCACCTCGTCTGTACTTTGCAGTGACACACACTGGAGCAACCTTGGCGATTTATCCAAGCAGTACTCCTCGACTTTAACAGAAATCCTGGATAAACATGCTCCCATAAAGACAAAAACTCTTGTTACTCGTGCAAAGATCCCTTGGTTTAACGCTGATGTTCTCCAGTTTAAACGTATTCGTCGCAAGGCTGAGCGGAAAGCTCTTAAAAGTGGTCTTTCTTCAGATTGGCTTGCTTATCGTAAAATCTGTAATAGATATTCTGCTCTTCTCAAGTCTACTCGAGCTTCTTATTACTCAGATTTAATTGGTCAGTGCGCTGGTGACTCCGGGAAGTTGTTCAAATTGGTTTCATTCCTTTGTAAGGGTCCTAATGTTAATGATCTACCACCTCATGATGACCCAGTTCTACTTGCGAATAAATTTGGGGAATTCTTTGTTAAAAAAATTGAACTCATCAAAGATTCCATCAGTGATATTGAAGTTAATCCTCCTTATTCTGATACTGCTGCTCCAGCTGTAGAACTTGACAGTTTTTCGCCGTTATCAGTGGAAGATGTTTGCAATATAATCAGTACATCGTCTAATGCCTCATGCTCCCTGGATCCAATCCCTACATGGCTTGTGAAGTCTTGTCTTGACGTCCTTGCGCCCTCCATTACTCGCATGGTAAATTTGTCTATTCGCCACGCCTATGTTCCCGATGATTGGAAAACTGCAATTGTGAAACCTCTATTAAAGAAACCCGGTCTAGAGTTAACTTATAAAAACTTCCGTCCGGTAAGCAATCTAACATTCATCTCCAAGATCGTCGAAAAGGCGGTTCTTTCTCAATTGTTTAAGCACTGTGAATACAATGCTCCTCTGCCGAAGTTACAATCAGGGTTTAGAAGATTTCACTCTACCGAAACTGCCTTGCTTAAGGTTCAAAGTGATATTCTTATGTCAATGGACCATCAGGAAATTACGCTTCTTGTGCTACTGGATCTAAGCGCTGCTTTTGATACAATCGATCATCAGATTCTCCTTAATGTTCTTGAAAGCGATTTTGGAATCATTGGCTCTGCCCATAAATGGTTTGCGTCTTATCTGTCTGGCCGAAAACAACGTGTTCTCATAAACGATCGAACATCAGATGATTTTCATTTGAACTGCGGTGTCCCACAAGGCAGCTGTATGGGTCCTATTTTATTCATATTATACATATCTCGACTATATCACGTGATCGCTAACCATCTCCCCTCTGCTCACGGATATGCCGATGATACACAACTTTATCTGTCGTTTAGACCCAATGACATATCTTCGCAAGACCACGCCATAGCTGCTCTTGAAGCCTGCATTTCGGATGTCCGCTCATGGTTGATTTATAATCGCCTGTTAATTAACGATTCTAAAACCGAATTCTTAGTTGTTGGTTCCCGCCATCAATTATCAAAAATCGCAATTGATTCCATCACAGTCGGTAATTCTACCATTCAGCCTCTCAACAGTGTTCGAAACCTGGGTTCCTGGTTTGACTCCAATATGTCCATGTCCATTCACATTGGTAAGATCTGCAGCAAAGCTTTTCATGGATTGTATAAAATTCGCCAAATTAGGAAATTCCTCAGTCCTGAGTCCACGAAGACTCTTGTTCACGCATTTGTGACTTCGCATTTAGACTATTGCAACTCCCTTTTATTTGGCGTACCCAAGTACCAGACAGAGCGTCTTCAGAAGGTGCTTAACGCCGCTGCTCGACTAATTTTTAGGATTCCCAAGTTTCACCACATCTCGTCCGCCTTATATAATCTTCACTGGCTTCCTGTGGCTTATCGCGTCCATTTTAAGTTGTTACTTTTAATTTATAAAGCTTTAAATAACCAAGGCCCACTATACATAAAAGAATATCTGCAGCCACACAGTGTCAAGGGTCATCAGCTACGTTCCTGCGATCAGGGTCTCCTTAAGGTCCCAAGAACTAACTTTAAGACCTTTGGTGATCGTGCCTTTGCCCGTTCTGGACCTTTTTTGTGGAACGAACTGCCGCTTGAAATTCGAAACAGTCCAAGTGTAACGATTTTTAAGTCAAAGCTTAAGACACATCTATTCAAGCTGGCTTACAGTTTGTTTTGATATTTTGTCGTTTATCATTTTAATATTTGTAGTTAATAATGTTGTAAAGCGCTTTAGAATATTTTATAATTTTAGCGCTTTAGAAATGTAAATTATTATTATTATTAAAGGAGAAGGAAGCAGCATAATAATAATAATAAAAATAATTATTTAAATTTATATAGTGCAGACCTCTATGTGGGTATATTCAGTTGCACTTCACGATATTGTAAGGCAAAATTATGTTAAAAGTAACTAAAAAAAAGGAACTATTAAAACCTATGAATCTATGCACTTGAAGGGAACAGTTACCTAGTAAAAACTAGTTAAAACTATTTGAATGCTAAATTAAAAAAATTAGTTTTGACTAAGAAAAGGGGAGGGAAGTGGGGAGGGAGCAAAGTGAAAAGAAGGGAGGGAGCAGGGTGTAAAGGAAGGAGGGAGCAGGGTGGAAAGAAGGTAGGGAGCAGGATGGAAAGGAGAGCTGGAGCATGGCAGAAAGGAGGGATGTGACAGGGTGCAAAGGAGGGAGGGAGTTGGATGAAAAAGAGATAGAGAGTAAGGTGGAAAGAAGAGAGGAAGCAGGGTGGAAAGGAGGGAAGCAGCAGGGTGAAAAGCAGAGAGGAAGCAGAATAATGGAAAGAAGGGAGAGAGCAAAGTGGAAAGGACAGAGGGAGCAGAGTGGAAAGAAGGGAGACAGTGGGATGGCAAGAAGAGAGGGAGAAGAGTGACAAGAAGAGAGGGAGAAGAGTGACAAGAAGAGAGGGAGCAAGGTGCAAAGGAGGGAGTGTGGCAAAAAGAAGGGAGGGAGCAAAGTTAAATGGAGGAAGGAGGCAGGATGGAAAGCAGGGAAGCAACTGGGTGGAGAGGAGAGAGGGAACGGAGTGACAAGAAGAGAGGGAGCAAGGTGCAAAGGAGGGAACATGGTGAAAAGAAGGGAGTAGGCAAAGTTAAATGGAGGAAGGGAGCAGAGTGGAAAGGAGGAACGTAGCAGGGTAGAAAGGAGGGAGGTAGCTAAGTGGAAGAGGGGAGGGAGCAGGATGTAAAGGAGGGAAGAACCAAAGAGGAATGGAAGGAAAGAGCAGGGTGGAAAAGAGGTAGGGAGCAATGTGGAAAGGAGGGAGGAAGCAGGGTTGAAAGAAGGGAGAGAGCAGAGTAAAATAAAGGGAGGGAGAAGGATGGAAAGGTAGAGAGCAGGGGGAAAGGAGGGCTGGAGCATGGTGGAAAGGAGGGATGTGGCAGGGTGCAAAGGAGGGAGGTAGCTGGGTGAAAAAAGATAGATAGCAAGGTGGAAAGGAGGAAGGAAGCAGGGTGGAAAGGAGGGAAGCAGCAGGGTAGAAAGTAGGGAGGAAGAAGGATGGAAAAAAGAGAGGGGGCAGAGTGGATAGGAAAAAGGGAGCAGGGTGGAAAGGAGGGAGCAGGGTGAAAAGAAGGGAGGGAACAGGGTGGAAAGGAGGGAGGAAGCAGGGTGGCAAGGAGTAAGGAAGAAGGGTGGAAAGGAGAGAGGGAACAGCGTGGAAGGGATAGAGGGAGCAGGGTGTCAAGGAGGGAGGAAGCAGGGCGGAAAGGAGGTAGCGAGCAGGATGAAAAGCAGAGAGGGAGTGGGGTGAAAAGGAGAGAAAGAGCACAGAAGAAGAGCAAAGAAGACTAAAAGCAGGGGGAAGCAAGGGAGAGGGAAGGAGGAATGGGAAGGAGTGAATGTGAGAAGAAGGAGAAAGGAAAGGATTGAGGAAGAGAGGAGAGGACCAAGGAATGAATGGATGGATAACAAACAGATCAACAGGTGAACCAATGGATTTTTCAAGGAGGAAACATGTAGCAAAGGAGACCTAGGACAAACAAAATAATTTACCTCATTAAATTCACAACACTTGTGAGCATACATCTCAGCAGCTTCTAGATTTCTTTTCTTTAGGTTGTATCTTGCTAAAAACACATACGCAGAACACAAATCAGCCACAGACATCACCTGTAAAACAACAAAACATCACCACGATTAATTTGATTTAGTATAATTTCAGAGCTGAGCAAAGAGTTTCCAGTAAGCATTTATAGATTATGCTAGCATAATTTTTGGCATAATTCAAGCAAACTGGCATAATTTCTGCCAAGTAGCAATGCTAGCATAATTTGCGCATTTTGATAATTATCAGATCATTTTTGATGCCCTTATTTGATAATGTTTTGTCTCTAGTCCCAAGCACTTGGTGATCTTAATTGATATTTAAAGTTTTAGTTAAACTAGTAGCATTTGTAGTTCACTGTGAAGCACTGAGCCCAGGTCTAACCTAAACCACATGTTTATTTGAAATTCATTGTGGATTTGTTGCGTTTCTTTCCTGTAGACTAACGGCTTCTAGTTAAAAAATATATATTTTGGACTTATTTGCATTTTTTCAAAGAGCATAATTTAAAAAAACGGTGGCATAATTTGGAAAAAAGAGCATAATGTTAGCATAATTTGGCCAAAAAAAAAGCAATGCTACTAGCATAATATGCCACTTTTACTGGCATAATCTATTAATGCCTAGTTTCCAGCAGAATAATTGTTAAATATAAATCTGATAAATTGTTAGTTGGTTTCATTGCCCAATATATACTTACTCCAACAACTTCTGTCTGTTCTACATAGCGGTTGTATTGCGTGGCAGCATCATCATCCTCAGCAAGATGTTCATGTAATCTACCAAAAACAAAACCATTTCAGAAAATATGATTTAAGTTAAAAATTCAGTCAACGTACTAGTATTCATTACTTATAAAAGCAATTTGAGCATGATAATACCTTGCTAGCTTTATCACAGCCATCCCTTCAAGATCACCTACTGACATTGCCCTGAAATAACACTGAAAAAAAAAATTGTTTTGATCATCCAGCCAACTTTGATGGACTGCTTTGTCATTTTCCACAATTGGGGACAAAAAAAAAACAAGAAGACAAAAGTTATAAGAACTACTGAATATATATCCTTACTTTTTTAGCTTGTTGCATAGTGTTCAACTTTTCATAGCTTTCACCCAAAGCAACTAACATCCTTGAGTCATTTGGTCTGTAAAACAAAACATTAAAAAGTGTTTTCCATTCACAATTTCATTGTCAAAGATTTAGTAATACATAGACAGGTACAAACAAGCCATATAATATCCCGCCGTTTCGGCGACTTCATGACGCCATTATCGAGGGTACAAATGAGATGCTTTACATCAAACATTTAACACCGAGTTTGAATGTGCAAACGGATTCCATCCGTGCTAAAGTATTTGTGTAGCTACCTCCCCTATGTAAATTAACACCGAATTTGAACGTGCAAACGGATTCCATCCGTTCTAAAGTATTTGTATAGCTACCTCCCTATGTAAATTAGTTGTAACTCTTGAACTCGCATTAATTTTGTTAACTTTATTTTCATTTGTACCCTTGATAATGGCGTCATGAAGTCGCTGAAACGTCGGGATAATTATATCGCTTATTTTTACCTGTCAATGAACTTCATTGTCACAGTCAAAATCAGCTGATAAGAGATCGTGGTAAATACCTGAATTTGTGAGCCTGTCTGTAGTAATACAAGCAGTAGAATGGCATTTTCAGAATTTCATATGTCTGTCCTAACCCATACCATGCTCTGTAATCTCGATAATTTACTTCTAGAAAGTAATAACAAAAATTCTGGTTTCAAATAGGTATACTGATAGGGTTTAGCCTCACAACATTATTTACTTTCTCACTGAGCTTCTGGGGGCTTTTGTTATATGAAGTTTTGGTAAAGAGCTCATCCACCATGAGCTGCTTGTCTACACATTTAGTCAGCCTGTACTTACCGGTAAGCCAAATAGCTCATCCAGCTCATCCCCAGTCCCCCCCACCTCCTAGATGGGATACCAGTCTATCAAAAGGTTCCCCCAACATTTCAGGCTTCCCCGACAATTTTCTGTAACCAATTTACACTCTGAATGGAGAGAGGCACTGTGACAGCTAAGTTTGTCACCTAATAACACAACATGACACTGGGCTCCACACTAACTTTTCAACTTACTAGCCAAGTGGCTAGTGACCTCTTAGATGTTTTCAGATGTTACGACAATTTCAGTCTGTTTACTAGCCAAACTGGCTCGTGGAAATTGAAAACCACTAGCCAAAACTGAATTTCTACTAGTCTGTGGCTAGTGGGCTACCATTAGTGTCAAGCCCTGCATGACCTAACCAGGTCTTGAACCTGCACCCCTCCACCAGAAATCCAGCACAATAACTATTGGCCCTCCATGATATCCTTGTCTACACATTTTAGGAAGCACATACACTACCAATAGTTTGAAACCAATTTTACATGAAACCCATTTTAAACTACAACATAGTCATCACACAATCTGTGTTTTCAGGATCACATCACTTCTTGTTGTTACTTTTGTGAAAATTTAAAATCATGTGCAAGAGCCCAAAAAATTTCATAATGATTGTAACTATCAAAAAAGACCTCATCATTATGCAATATCTTACCAATGGCTTTCCTGTAGGCTTCTATAGCAGCTGAAGTATTCTTCCTCTCCATAAACTCATGTCCCATGAGAGTCCAGGCAGATGTATACTGTGGGTTTAGTTTCAGAGCACGTTGAAAATAAGTCACTGCTTTTTCATGCTGGTCGTGGAGGCTGTAATAATTTCCTAAAAATAGTTTAAAGGAAATTGCTTGTTATACATACCTGGATTCAGATGCATAACCATTTAATAAAGACCATAGTTTTTTCAAATACAAGCCCATGCTCTAATAGCACCCTCCTGGAATAGGCACCTCCCGAAATAAGTGCCCATCCCGAATAAGTGCCCATCCCGGCCCCAGGCCATAGTGACAAGCCAGCATCCCTTTCACATAAGCAATACCTTCCTCATTCACTTTCTTAAACAGTACGGATACAAGGAAAACCTGTTTCTATTGTTACTTTATTTTAATAGAAACTTTTAAGCTTCAACTACAACAAGTGTCCCTATTCATCAAGTGCCCTCCTTTTCATAAAGGTCTAGCCTTTTAGCCGAAAAAAAAAAAGAAGTGCACAGACACTTAATAGGCAAAGAAATGTGGTACTAAAGTTAAGAAAAGTTGGTTGAATTACAAATTCTGCATGCCACACAGAACTGGCAGAATATTACTCACCTATGACACAGCATGTTTCCTCTCTGTACTTATCAATACTGTTCGTGTGGTGTGCTAAGTAACTTAAGTCTGGTTTCATTTCCTGCAAGCACCAAATTAATACTCTTCTATTTAATTGTCAGTTAAATGTAGCTACACATCAAAGTTATCCTGTGCACCTAGTTAACTCTTTTCACCCTAACATATTCTCCATATACCATTCTCTATACATTTCCTTATGTCGTACTGACAAGGAGAATAAGTTTAACAATTGAGAGCTGCTTTAGTTTAGTGATCATCGCCTTTATTGTTGTGACCATAATGTTTGATTTAGGGATGATATTGTAAGGAGAAATTACGTACTGCAGGGCTCCACACTAAAGGTAGCCCAGTAGCCACAGACTAGTAGAAATTCAGTTTTGGCTAGTGGTTTTTGATTTCCACTAGCCAGTTTGGCTAGTAAAGAAACTGAAATTTGTTGGTACATCTAGATGTCGCTAGCCATTTGGCTAGTAAGTTGAAAAGTTGGCATCAAGCCCTGTGCTAGTCATTTTTAAGTAGCAAAGGGTTCAAAGAAAAAGGACTCTGAGTTCAAGAACTTTTGATACACCATCTGCTTAGTCTTCAAAAGAACTTAAAAAAAAAAAATTAAAAGTTTTCTGTCAGTTAATCTTTAATATTTTTTCTTTGAAACTGTCTTGAACCTTTGTTTCCACCAGTGTCTCTTCTCTCTTTCAGGTATGAGATGAAAAATCAAGTATATTGCAGATAGTTCTTTTTGGCTTGATCTGCCATACCTTGAAAAAACATCAAATAGACAAACTAAATATTTAGTACTCACCTTAACATAAAGAATATTGGAGTAGGTGTCCATGTGCTCCAGGGAATATGGATCTTGTTCTCTGACTTGTTTGAACAGCTTACATGCAGCATCAAAATCTACAGCCAGGAGAAAACAACAACCAATATTTATTGTGTAAAATATTGTTCAATATCATTAGCTCTCTGAATTTGACAGTCATCACCTCTAGATCTGTAATTATGAAAACTCAATAAGATGCAAAAGATGTTTGACTATATTTGATAAATAAGCTAACTTTCTCTTTGGTCAATACAATAGAGCCAGGATGTCCTTTCTTGGGGATATTGTATTTCAGGGTACTATTTCATGATCGAAACCAAGTACCCATTACTAAATTGAGATGAATTTGAACCTAGAATCCTCAACAGCAAAATTGCAAGCAAAAATTAATAGGAATAAAAAAATAGCTGAGAGGAGCTTTAGCAACTGAAATAATCCTGCATCTATAGTCATCAGTAAATTCTCTACTCCATAATTTCTAGAGATGTTTTCAATAGCAGTTGTTGGAACAACAAGAGTAAAATGAAAGATTGACAGCAATCGTCTCAATAAGACTGATATACCTCTGGCATGGTATTGTGCTAGTGCAGTTTGCAGTAAGACATATTTGTTGTTGGCAAATCCAGCTTGGCTCAGATGCGCATATCTCTCCAGCCCTTCCTCGTTCAACTGAAGATCAATTGCGACATGAGCTTGAAAAAATTGAGCCATCCAATGGGAGGGAAGCGTCAATGACTGAAGCTTAAATGTGAAAAACACATCATGATGTCACATCTCTTTCATATTAGCAGGCATGGTTCTTACAATTTTATGCGTGTGCAAATTATAAACCTTTTTACCTGAAAATTACATTTTTTTATATGTGTTATAGCGGTCAGGGAGGCTACTGTATTTACTTGTGTGTAGGTCCACCTTTTATGACTAAAACATTAGCCCAAAATTCACCCTTGACCTATACATGAGTAATAGTTTACATGAATATATTATAGAACGGCAATATGTCTAACTTTTTATGAAAAAGGTCTGTGCCTAAAAAAATAGGTTTGACGATAGGAAACTCCTTAATATCTCTACTTGGATCTGAAAAAAAAAAAAAAAAAAAGAAAAGAAAAATTGTGCAGGTCACCCAGTTAGCAAAACAAATTGTCCCTGCCTGGCTCTATGGACAACAGTCCTCCTATGAGGCCACTCCCACCAACAGCATCAGACTGCCCACTCAAATATTACCCCTGCATTCAAACCATTTAAAGCAGATGCTAATTAATGCGTGATACTTTAACTTGAGGATGGCACAACCTCTAACTCAGACATTAAATTTTAATCAAGAGCAGCATTTCATCATTTAAGCAAGTACAAGTCATACCATTTCCTTGTCGGTACAGAGAGACGACAGCTCCAGCCAAGCGCCCCAATGAAGAGGCTCTCTCTTTACAGCTTCTAGCATCACTTCAAGAGCATCTTCTCTTAGATCAAGCTTTTTAAGTATAACACCCAATCTATTAATCAAAATTAAAGGGACAAGTTAAAAAATAATTTGGATATATCAACAAAGTTGAAATGGTAAATTGGCCACCGTAATGATTACAAAAGCTGACGTTTCGAGCGTTAGCCCTTCGTCGGAGCGAATGATACTTGGTTTCTCAGCCCGACGGAATTAGAAATTGTTCGCCAGTAAATTAAGCAATTCGATAAACGTGATTTTAGAAGTTGCTTCGGAAGCGGCGGGTTTTGCCCATAACGAGTTTCGCACACAAAGCGTTTCGCCCAGACCTAGACCCAGACCATAATTGAAAGATAATTTGGTTATATCAACTAAGTTGAAGTTCTAAATTGGCCACCGTAACGAGTAAAAAAGCCGACGTTTCGAGCGTTGGCCCTTTGTCAGAGCGAGTGGAGAGT